TTTATTGGGATGGGGGAGGCATTACGTTTAGATAAGAAACAAATAGTAACAGTAGCTCCATTATCCACTTATTCTTACCAAGACTTCACGTTTTCAAATGAACAGTTAACAACCACCTCGTCATCCAGGCATTATACACATGTAATTCCAAGGGGAACATCTTTGAAGTAATCTCCTCTGTAGCCTTAGATCAATACGTGTTTCCCCGAAATGAGGTCTACGACCGACAAATACAATTCTGTCTTGCCTGTGGTTAGCCTACGGGAACGGATGGCAGTGCATGAAATTCTAGGGAAATCCCCTAACCAGCTAATCAATGAAGCTGAACTCAGACAATCGTTCTTGCCAAATTCTCGTGAAAGGATGGGCCATATGCCACAAGTGATGAAGGCACTCGTCGTGACATCCGTTCACTAATTCGTGATTTGACGGCCAAGACATTCATATGGATTGCCATAGTGTGGTTCTGGGTAGAGTCTTGCAGCCACATTTTCCAGCGGCTGCCATGAACACAGTGCATTTTCCCACTGGTGGCGGAAGCAGGGCCAAGGGGGGGGGAGGCCAGTTGCCCACCACTTTTTTGACTAGAGAACATTCCACCCTACCCACTTTTCGCCGGCCTATAATGGGTGGGGCTTAATGGATTGGCCTATTAATGGCTGATGCATGAGGGTCTAACAACCCCCCCACTTTAAAATTGTTCCACAGCATTTGCAGTTTCCATGTGGTATTGTATACCTTGCAAGCGTACAACTGTATACCCGAACCGTCCTAAGTTTCCCTTGCTTTGTCTCCATTGTGAGGAATTTTGAAAATGCAATCCCCTAACTTTGTCTGCGAGTGAAATAAAGTTTTATTTTAAGCCTCACCAAAAAGACAATCCATTTCTAAAAACAATCTGCATAAATTTAAGACTGACATGATCCGGAGAATTCCATACATGGCATAAAAATACCTACGCCGTACGGCAATGTTAGCATCCTCATAAAGGTTAGTAAGCCTGAGTTCTCTGTGCAATTGTTGTTTCCTAACAGGTTTCAAGGAAACGTAGTATATTATATACTCAAAATAGAAACGCTAATACCAATACCAGTTTTTGGGTCAATCAGAGCTTTCCATGTAAATGACCGAATTTCGTGACAACACTTAACATTTAAAAAAAAGTTTAGTTCTGGTTTTTAACTTAAAAAAAAGAAGAAAAGTTGACTTTTTCCAACCATGTTTCCTCAGATGTCATTTGTGTTTGACCGAAACAGTCAGAATGAAGAACAACTTCACCACCCCTCATCAGGTTCCACAGTCACCGCTTCCCATCACACTATCAGCAACTCACTGACGAAGTTACGATGACGCATAATCGGTATCTTAAGGCGGTGCTTAAACCACAACTATATGGAGAGCAGTAACAGACAACAATCAGGCCAGTCAACAGAGGGCAGCATTTACCATCCACTGTCTCGTTTGAGCGGAATATTCACAAAGCATGACTACTGTGGTAACAGACGATATACATGTATGTAGTCTGATTTTAGACAGGAAAACTCCACAAAGAGGGGGCCATTCAAGCCTAAAACGGTGCAACAGAAACTCTGAGCTCTCTTTTCTGGTCTGAACCAATGAAGGAACAGTAATGCAGATACCCATGTGCATGTGAATGCCCAGGTTTCTGGGAAATACCCTGAAAAAAGATACGTTCTCTGTGTTTTATGAATAACACCAATGAGATTGGTAACAGCAAGACCAATATCCACCTTTACATGGAAGTGCCACAATATCCACCTTTACATGGAAGTGCCAAAAATAATTATAAAGGTTACAGACTCCGAGGTATGATAGAATGTGCTTACTGATGGAGGATTAGAGAATCCGTCTAAGTTCACCAAGTTCCTTGAAGTCTTTATAAAACTGACTACCCTGAAGAAATCCAATAGCAGTACTAACACATTACATCCTTTTGATTCTTACAGTGCTGTATTAACACCCTGTCTCTTGTTAGCGTATTCGTTGACGGGGAACAGTGTTCATTACAACAAAATGCATTAGAGGGAGCTTTTATCTTCCTATAGTCCTGAAGATCACGTTTGCAGGCTTCGCCGAAACATCCGCTAAGCCAAACATACAACCTCAGTCTACTTGCCCATGTAGGTTATGCAAAGAGTATTAAACTGGATTTCCTTTGCCCATGGGGACTGTACCTGCATTAAGCATACTCGGGAGCATTTCCGCATGAAATTTGCTGAAAGATGGCCAACCACCGATGATGTCAAAGCAGTGTGTGTCGGACGGCATACAACTCACTCTCCGCAAACCACAGAAGTGATCTTAAGTGCGCAACAAAGTCATTCTGTTCAAGTTAGATAAACTGCTCTCCTTTTATTTCTTTTTGTTCTTCTTCTGGAACCCTGCTTTATACTGCTTTTGCTTCAACAAGCCTCACATCTAATACCACATTTTGAGAGTTCCTAGGGAATGAAACTTCTTTGAAAATCAGTGTTCCATATCTTCCTGCCTTTTTCCATGTTAAAACGTATCCTCAAACTCAATCAACTGTAAGAATTATTACTGAAAGCTTGAAATTTTTCAAGGTTTCAAGAGTGAACAAAAACAACTAAATCTTGATAATTCTATAAGATGTACATGTATAAGAACCTAATTACAGTACTGAATGATGTACATGTATGTGTAGGTTTACAGAATTGAAGGAATTTCCTTCTTGGAATACATATAGACATCTGTTTTTGAAGTACATGTACCGGTAAGCCCATGTTTTTGTCATTAGAGATGCACAATTATGAAATGGAACAAAATTAGCAGTTGTCTGGAAAGTCTATGCTTGAGAGTGCTGCACTCCCAGAACACAGAAACTCGTGTGACTTTAATGTTTCATTTCAAGCTGGATCGCAAATCTGAAAGTTTTAATTAGAGCAAGAGTGCGTCTTGCTGGTGAGACAAGACACTTCATTCATCAGGCACCAATTACCCCTGTATAACTCAGCCAACAACGGGCTACATTTCTCTTGTGCCACCTTGACACGGCTGACATTTGGGGATCCAGCTTGGCGACCTTTTATGTGCCGAGTTTTTAATTTCAAGGTTGAGGAAAGCCAGAGAGCTAAGAACGTGAGGGTGGGGGGGTCAAGGGAAGGAGAGAGACATCAAGTGTGGCGAGGAAGACAGGAGGGAACACGAATGATGCAGCCGAGATTGCTCCGTGATTATCCGGCAGAAGAAAGATGCGCTCAGCCGGGAAAGCAGTCTTGACCGTTTAGCAGATATGAATTGGTTTTCCGGTGAAACCTGGTGAAACATGTTCTAAATGAAACACGCTCTGATCAGACAGCTGTGTCCTGATCCGTGGGCAGGGCTCTCAAATGAAAGTAATCACTGTTAAGGAAGGTTCTCCTTAAAACGAGGACATACGCGTAGGGGAGAAACAAAAATTGGCAAAGCAAAGGCTTTACCGTACTTCAGGTACAACTTAAATCCTTCACCCCATTAAGAAGTACCTAAATCACTAACATCAAAGAAAATTCTGGAGGCTTTACCACTTTACAAATTTCCAAATGGAATTTTAAAAAAAAGGAATGACAGAAATTGAGAAGCACATGTACGTGTAGCTACTGTTATTTAAAAAAGCTACAAGGATTCTGAACACAGGACAGAATAACACCCGGCACAAAAGCCACACACAAAAAATTGAAGAGATGGAATTACAGGACTTCATAAAATGACTGAACATCAAAATAAATTCATCAATTTACAACTGTCTTAGGACCCATAATGTCAGCATGTATTCGTATGCAAAAATTTCCTTCAAACCTAGCTGTATGAACTTTAAATTCTTACCTCTGAATTTATGTTACACTCAGGGGATGGTCTCTTATAAAAATTAAAAACAAAACTACATTTTAACTTTATGAAGAGAACATAAGCCACACTAAAAAGGTGAAGAGGTGCATTAATGTCCAGCAGACTGTAGTCTAGACAAAGTGGCACTTTTTTATCTGTCAAGTGAGGGCAGCATTTACATGTACTATGTGCAGCACGTAGCATGGATTTTTGGCCTCAAGAGGCCATCACAGGCCACTGTGATGTGGAGCGGTGTATGGGACATTTTCTCTGTGTATATCAGAAAACAAGCTTTATGGATTTCCCTCAATGATACATGCAATGTTCAGATGTAACTGATGTAATAAACATGAATGAATGAAACACCTCTAGAGTTTGAGAGTAACCATAAAACTGTTGAAACTGGTCTGCACTGGCACTTCTTTGTAAATCAAGTATTATCATGAGGTTGAAGTTGGAAGATTCATCATTTGATAAATTTATCCACTGAAAACTTGTTAATTCCAATTTTCAAAATAAGTCTTCCATGAACATGTAACATGTACATTTACTACAAAAGTAAACACGGCCGGCTGCATTTTTGAAACTCTGAATTTTTAACATGAAGTACATGTAGTTACTCGCCTACGTCTACACCTAAAGATAGAACTGAAGAGATTTGAACTTTTTGAGTGTTTGTCATTGCAAACACGGTCCGTCTGTAAATCATTTGTAACAACATGTAGGGCATTTTAAAGCTACAGAGTGGTTGAATAACAATGAAATGAGACACAAGATGCAATGGGCACGGATGAAAATCCAACTTACCTTTTTGGACTCGATGACCTTCTTGACGTCTTTCTTCTCCCGCATGGAGCCAGCGCGCGGGCTGCCCATCAGATCATCCTTGTTGATTCCTGAGAATCGCTTGAAGAGGCTCTTGCGCAGCCGCCCCTTGTTTCCGCCTGCCGCCGACGACACCAGGTCAGGCGAGGAGTGCTCCGCCCGATGCAGGAGCTTCTTTTGGTGGTGGTGCCTCTGGTGGGGGTACTTGGTGGCTGGCGAGCTGGGCGCCGAGAAGGCGGTGGACGAGGACTTGAGGTGGTCATAGCTGCAGTGGTGGCGGAGGAATCCCGGCGAGGAGTGGCAGGAGCTGCCCGAAAAGTCTGAGAGGTGGCTCTGATTGTGGTTGGTGTTAGGCGAGTTGCTCTTCACGTACGGGGCACCCCCGAGCCTCTCGTCGTGGTCATACTCGTCCGTGTGGTCATCCCCACAGCAGGGGGACCGGCTGTAACCCTGGTAGGGGATGTCTTCCAGGTAGTACCCACCGCGGTTCCGGTCGCAGGTCAAAACGACATCTTCCGCCTCTTTGCTCTTCTCCCGTGTGCAGCGGGGGACAGCCCACGCGTCGCGCCGCTTTGGCTTGTCGCACTGCTCGTGCCGCAGCATCCTTGTCCTTGCTGACAAGGGAGTCCTTTGTGACGGTGGGCGTGTCTCGCACCTGGAGGCTCGTGGGTCGGTCAGCTGTTGTGGCAGGTTTAGTCATCACATGATTAGCCATCACCGCATGGTCGTTGTTATTTTCCATGGCACATGACGTCATTGTTGTTGCTGTTGACGGGTTGACGGCCGATTCCGTCCTCGGGTGCTCCCCGACACCCAGAGTCTGCAACAAGAGAACAGAAAAAAAAATCAATCCCACAGGAAAAAACTTTAAGTATGCCCGAATAAGCACCGAATTCACTTGTGGCTTGAGGTCAAACCGACCAGAGCACTCACTCCTCAGTTGGCAATGCCTACATGTACACCACGATGATGAAACTGCGTGACAGGAAATGCTCACAGTATCACGACCAGCTCGAGGACAACAGACCACCCATCCCCAACCCTTTACCGGCACTGCCTATAGATTTTCATCTGCACTTACATATCTGCATAACCCATAACTTGACACCTTCGATATCAATCATAAGTCTTGAGGGGGAGAGATAAACCTCAACTCTCCGAACGCAGGTGGGAAAGATATTTATGGCAAATCTGAAGAATGATTTTTACATGCAACTTTCTATTTTTTCCAAGCTCCCAGACTTGTTGGAGGGACTCGTGATTCCTTATATAAAATGAACAACAGCTGTAGTTTCATGCATGAAGGCGGCGTCAAAGAATGAAGCGGTCCTTGACAGGACAAAATGTTGTTTTGTGCTAGTCTGCGTAGCTCACGCAAATGGAATAAGAGAGAGAGAAAAATCCTGCTGTAACTTTTTAAGAATGTGATGGAGTTTCCAGCCCCTGGACCCATCGGATATTTTTGTCAATGATCACGACCTTGCTCGGCAATTATTGGCAGTGATAGATGGCAAACAGAGGTGTTTTTTTTTTTTACAGGGATCTATTTGAAGATTCCATACGGTCCCTTCAGAGTGGGAAGTTCCCCTGCATTCTGGCACTTGAACTCCTTGTATGAGATTACTGAGACAGGGAAGGGAAGACAAATGGGGGGGAAATTGCAAGCAATGACATCTACCTTAATTTGCTCCATTTATCTCGGTCTAAAGATGAGAAACAGATGTACTGTATATTATAACACTGCTTGCTAACAGATGTTAAAAGGTTACCCTCCAGATGTTCTTATTCCAGTGGAATCCTCCTCTAGGGTGGGGAGAATCAGAACCGTTTAGGATACTGCTGTTTGTAAGATGCTATTGTGTACACATTGTGGATGCGTGGCTCAAAATGCATTTGGAGTGTGTCTGGGTGTTATTACACGGCTTTTGTCGGATTGCTTGTCACTTTCCATGCGACTGTTGAGTTCATCTGGATAAGCACTATCTCAACCTTTATTACAGTCTTTTTTTCTATTTGCATGAGCTTCACATCCCTCGTATTGGGTTTGCGTCCTCAATCCACATCATGTTCTTCAAGTAATCTGAATGTAAATAGCACAAGCTGGCTGTTTAAACATGCCTGTGTGCGCAGCAAGGTCCTGACGATTCTCAGTAAATATGTAACACTGTAAGGGGGTGTCTCTGCTTGGTATTAAGTCTGCGTCTGTTTGAATAATTCAACATTTGAGTGATAGAGTACGCATATATTTAGTTGTGCCACATTACCCCCAAAGCAGAGACAAAATTATGCACGTTTTACAAAAGTAAACAAGAAAAACTTGAAGGAAAAATTATTTATTTGACTCATTGTTGGGAATTGATCCATCCAGCTGCCTTTCAGTTTACCGGTACTTTAAGTCCACCTTGAAATATGCTTTAAGAATACAATTTTGAAACCAACTGTGGGCATTTCCCCTGTTTGATTTTATTGATGTTCACCTCTAAATATTCAATTTCAAAAATACATACTGAAATATTTGCTAATCACTGGAACATTTGAATAAATGGCAAAATTAAAAAAATCAAGAAAGCTAAAAGCAATTTTACACTGTTCAATGTGACAACATGCTACAAAAATGTGATGAAAATTACAATATCATAAATAATTTAGATTTCTTTGATAACCCTAACGTTGTCTCAACTGGTTGATTTCTTTTCTTCCAGCTCATTCCTCTGTCTGCAGGCACAAAGAGCCCACATGCTTAGCACTGCATGCTACAGCCTTGACTTTTTTTATTCATTTTGCTCAACATACGTCAACTTGCAGGTTATGTCTTATTAATATCCAATTTTCCAACTGACTATCAGATCAGCACAGAAAAAAATCTGCAAACCAAAATAAAGAAAAAAACTCAAGACATTTGATACATTGCCAATGACAGAAATCAATCCCCAGAAACTCAGAGTCTACACGATAAACACTTGACATTTCCACATTACCGTTAGTTCCCGTCAACACCATCAATCTCCTCTCAAAATAAAGGTGCTAACATTGAAAGGGACAGCTAGTTCATAGCATTGCAGAGTTTAATTTGATTTCTATTTCCACAGGATGTTGAGCTGTCTAATTGACCTACTCTCCCAGAGGGAAGTGGGCAGCACTCTCTCAGAGGTGAGATCAGGAGCAAAAGAGAAGTCCAACAAAATATCCAGCAACAAAATGCTGCCACTTTTTAAAGCTTGTAATAGTCAAGGCAGGACTTCTCTCTAGAACCTAAAGAACATATAGAAATTTATACTGTATAAAAATTCCTAGAGGAGCTTTCTGCACGAGCAGTACGTCACATATGCAGCATAACGACAGATGGGAAAAGTTGCAAAACAACAATCCAAGATATTGTTTCTGGTTGATTCACAATTGGCGAGAGGTTGTCATCCATGGTGATATCAATCATGATTTTACTTGGACTAAGATATCTGCCATGAAGATTCAAACTGTTTGCTTTTTCGCTCTACTTCGGGGAAATAAAAAAATCGCCAAGCACCAACAAGTGTATATGGGGATTTTTTCCTCCCGAGTGGCTACAAGTGAACTTGTGCTTGTTTTGTTATTAATGCAAAAATAAATGTGCACTACTTTGAAATTCGGGAAAAACTCTCAGTTAAAGCATACCCCACAACACTCACCCCCAGCTGACGCCTTCCCCCCACTCAACAAGAGGCTAAAGCGGTCAGGTTTTCTCACAGTAACATTTCCACTTGGACATTTGCAGCAAGCTTTATTAAAGCACAGGTGTGAAGAGGAAAGGCTGAAAGCGGGCATGGTTTCAAGACAAACACACAAAAACTTGCAACTTGCACAACGAAGATCAATTAACCGCTGATTTCCATGAAGATTACAATCAATCACTCCCGATAATCATACAACTCAATTACCAAGGGGTGACATCCCCTGAACAAAAAAAATGACCAAGGACGGAAAAACATCCTCAGAACAACGATGAGGGCTCTTACAGGGGATGAGCAGAAAAGGATATTAAACCAACAAGGGGGAATGACAAAGTGAGGCTTAATGCATGCTGTGCCATCACCGTGGCGACACAAATTGATGCGGATGCTTTGGGACATTGTCAGGGCGGATGTAATAATAGGCATCTGATACGGCACAGAGTCACTGACCTTAAAGACCTGCAGACGAGGTTTTGGGATGAAGGCAGATTTCTCAAAGGAGTTCAGGACTGGGGAGGAGGATCTTAAATGGGCTACTTAAAACACGGTACTCTTAAAGGAGCAAGGTATTTCGTTCATGGGTCTACTAAGATATGTAAACAAATGTGAAGCCACATTTCTCTGCCGAAACCTGAGGCATTTGACCTGTCAGGGTAGAATCACATCAAAGCACACTCTGAAATATTGTCCACTTAAAAGATACACAAAATGGATGCAGGATACGCAAACTGAGGCAGGGAAACTTAACTTACAAAATTCAATAGGGTTGTCTAAGGGGCGTGGCTAACTCGCTTAACGGTGCTTACACATCAATTCTGCACCACTCTCATGCATGAAACATTAACTAAGATTGTATCCAAATCTGTTGTCTAGAGCTGGGCCTAGATCTTTGCCATTACAAATATGCAGAGGCATATTAAATACAATGTCGCTCTGGAAGTCCATTTGGGACACAGCCTCAGCACAGAAAATGTGTGATGTACATTGCTTTTGGTCAGTTCGCAGTCAATTTCTGCTTTAACTCCATGGGCAATATTTTATGCCATGGCTTTGTCTGAAGGACTTGGCTATGGCTTGAAATGGAGGCTTTACGCAGTAGCCATCTTGCAGGGCAGTTCTTTTGTTCCACAGGGAAACCTCCTTTGTGCACACCCCATGGAACAAAAGCACTGGCCTGCAAGATAGCAGCCATGCAACCCCTCAATATAGGTAGAGCCATAGCCTATGCTGCTCTATCAAGTCGGACCTTGGCCACCTCTAATACTGCTGATTCCAGGTTTGGGTTTAATTTCTTTTTAAGTTAAAATGACTACAAATTCAACAAACTGAGACAGGCATTTGATAAACTCACAAATAGCACACGTTTCAACAAGATTTTTAACCAAAATGAAAGCTGGTCTCAGACTTTTCCATGGTTAAGGGAGTAAAACATTGGGAAAAAATACATTCCAAAGTAAAATTTGTGAAATGCGCCCTTTACGACTCAATTTACAGAAAACTTATGTCACATTATTTGAATCTAAGCCAAACCTTTCTACTATAATATCTGCCTGCCCCCACAGTTGGTAATCCTACCTTCAACTAAACCTTCTACAACAGTACCTGTAACTTAAAGAGTGCAAGCGTGATTTCCCTTGAGTCGCACATCTGTCATAAACCAACAACCAACATAAAACGGTAAAAAAAACCTCTAATTCCAAATTTGCTGTCTCTGGAACTCGACTTGTTTCACAAGTGCTTTAGGCATCTCATATGCATGCTACTCACAAGATTTTTGATTAACTAATCAGTCTGTCCAAAAGTACACTACAGAGTTGCTGGTAGTGAATTGTAACAGATCATCCCTACTGAAGTAGACGCTGGTGTTGGTTTTTTTTCTCAAACATGCTGTTAAGGAATGTACAAACGGGCATACAAAACTGGTACCATGTGTTTTAGTCATTCACCCACAGTTTAGAAGCCAGGAGTTTTAAATCTGCTGAAGGGGGAAACCTTGAAATGTATTCCCAGAGAAATTGCCTCCTGAATGAGAAACCATCTGGAAACGGAAATTCGGCAGTTGTTTACTGGGTGCTGATGCAACATCTAGTGTGGGGGGAGTTTCGACCTTTAA